AAGATCGTCTCCGAGTTCAGCGCGCCCCTCCGCCGATCGAGCAACGGGCTGCCGCTGCGTCGCCCCGTCGGGCCGCAGCGCCGCCGCCCCATGGTTCTTCTCCCGGCTGCACCGACCCGCGTCACCGCTGCGTCGCCCCTTCGGGCCGTAGTGCCGCGGCCCGCGATCTACCGCCGCCCCGAGGCCGTCCGCTCCAGGCCGTCCTCGTGGCTGCACCGACCCTCCCGCCGCCGCTGCGTTGCCCCGTCGGGCCGTAGCGAGCGTGGCACGCGGTCCACGCCGCCGTCTCGAGGCCGTCCACGCGGTTGCACCACTCGCGCTCCGCCGCTGTGCCGCCCCTTCGGGCTGTAGCACCGCGGCCCGCGGTCCCTGCGACCGTCCCGAAGTCTTCCGTCGTCACCCCGACCTGCCCGCCGCCGCTGCGTCGCCCCGTCGGGCTGTAGCGCCGCGGCCCGCGGTCCACCGCCGTCCCCGCGCGTCGACTTCCTGTGGCATGCGCCGCACCACCTTCTTTGGTGCGGGAACGCCACCGTCCGCGCCGGTCTTCGTCACGCTGTCGGGTTCTTCGCCTACTTCGAGCACCGCCGCCGCGCTCCTAACCTAGCCGCCGCCGCCGCCGCTCTTCTTTTGTAGCTGCCGCCGCAGCCGCCCGTCCACCTCCTTCGTCTTCGTCCAGCACCAGCCCGTCGCCAGCGTCGTCGTCATCTACCCCGACCGCTTCATCTACTCCGATAACCGCGGGCGACATTGGCCCCCATGCCGATTGGCGCCGCAACCGTCGTCGAGTCCTTCTCTGCTGGCCTCTCCGACTTCTTCGACATGGCGTACAGCTTGTGCAGGTCCCTGTCTACGCATGCCCGGTGCTGGCAACACCGTCGCGTGCCTTCGTCCACGACGTGTCCCCGGGCCCGGCAAGCCTGGTGCGACGCTTCGTCAACTTCGTCTTCACCCGTCTACGCATGCCCGGTGCTGGCAACACCGACGCATGCCTTCGTCTATGATGTGTCCCCAGGGTTGGCAACCCCGGCGCGACGCGTCGTCAACATCATCTACTTCCTGGCGCATCACTACTTCGACACCACTGCACCCACGACTAACTCGGCGCCTCCTTGCGCCCGCGGCTCCACGGCGACTTTCTCGACACCGGCTACCCTGACTCGACATCGACCACGGCATTCTTCGCACGGCTACCTCGACCACGGCTCCACCACCCACGCTCTCGGCTACCTCGACAAACGGCACAAAGGGCTATCGCCTTGCTTGAGCAACCTCGTCGGTTGCCACTCCAGCTACGACTCCGCGATGCGCCGACCGTTATGACTGTGGGGGGGTGTCCGTCGGCTTGCCTTCGGATTCTTCTCCAGTCTCACTGTCTGCGTCGCTACCGTTGTGACTGCGGGGGGATGTTGAGTATAATGTTTATTAGGAAAGACGAGATAGACTAGGATTTGTTCTGGCTTGTCTTGTACTCCAAGTAGATCATTATACTCATATATGTATGCCCACGAGGCTCAAGCAATACAACAACAATTTCACCAATCCTCTCTCTCCCTTCTAACACCGAGCAGCCCCTGTTCCTAAATAGGTAAGCCAACTCGCCGGCCGTCAACGTCGCGCTGCCCGTCGCTGCCAGCCGCCGCCCTCGTTGCCGCCGGCTGACTCCGCCGGTTTCATAGGACGCCGCCCTCGCCGGTGGTGGTCGCCATCGCATCCCCATCCTCGCCGGTTCCTCGCCTCCACTCGTAGCAAAACAACACCGTCGTAGCAAAAGCTTGATGTATCTGTCGTTGCAGCACCTAGCCGCCGTCGTCGTAGCACGGCCGTCGCCACACCACCATGCCTCCGGCCGCATCACTCAGTGTTGCTGCTCGCACCCAGTGGAAGCTTTTCCTCATGCTGGTTGAAGCTTTTCCTCACGCCGGTTGAAGCTTTTTTCCACCCGTCGACGCGCTTGCAGGGTCAAACGAACGATGGCTGTCAATAAACTCTATTTAAATGGATGTAGCAAAAGTTTTCGCTGGTGGTAGCGAAATCGAAGTACAGTTGCAACAAAACGTCGTCGCCCCCATCGCGGGTTGCAGCTAATCCATGAACGGATGTAGCAAAATCCAGCGGCGGTTGTACCAAAAACGCCGCCGCCATCATCGCACGTCGTAGCTAAGTTGTGAAGCATGTAGCAAACAACGACGCCGGTAGTAGCAAAAACCGACAACGGTTGCAGCAAAATGTCGTGGCCGCCGACCCGGGTCACAGCTAATCCACATTGTTTGTAGCAAAAACTCTTCGGTGGTAGCTTTTTCCATAGGCGGTTGCAGCAAAAAAACGTCGTCGCCGTCGTCGGGGTCGCGGCATCATCGTGAAGGATGTAGCAAAGTGGTAGCAATTGCAGACATCGGTAGTAGCAAAAACTGTGAAGTTTGCATCAAAAACTATGTCGCTGCCTTTCGTGGGTCATGCTCTCGCTGTATTTGGTTGTATCAAATTCTGCTGCGGGTAGCAGCTCCTTGTCGCCTGTTCCAGCATCTCACATCAACGGTCACAACACCCCCCCCTCGCGACGTCAGTTGAATCAGTTTCTCGCCAGCCGTGCACCAGTGTCGCCCGAGCTCGTCGTTTGTAGCAACCATGGTTGCACGCAGCCGTTTCCCGCCCAGCACAGGCAACAAATGGAGCAGGGATGCATAAGGGTGTGCGTGCTTAGGGATAGAGCAGCTTTGGTGAGGGTCCTCAAGGGTGGGCGGAGCTAGGGCCGACGAGGGCCATGGCGGAGGAGCGCGAGCTGTTTGCGGGAGAGCGTGAGGAAGACGAAGGCCATGGTGGGAAAGCGAGAAAAATGTGTGAATGGATAAGAAGTGATTGTGGGCCCGTAAGGAAAAAAAAAGTTGGTTGGGCGGAAGTGGGCGACGCGCGATCGTGGAGGATCTCATGGCTGGCGTGCGTCTGGCCGAGCGCTTCGGCCGGCGCACCGGCTCTAAACGTTTCCCGAGGAAAATGATAAGACAAGGTGCTAAATCTCATCGGAAGGCTCAGCATCGCCATCGATGTGGCATCTGCACTTGAGTATCTTCACCAACACATGCCATTGCCAATTATTCACTGTGATCTCAAGCCAAGCAACATTCTCCTTGATAGTGTGACATGGTTGCTCCAGGCATACATGCATAAAGAATCAAGCGGCTGTTTAGAGAAATCAAGTGGCTGGGCTTACAATAAGTGGAACAATTGGCTATGCTGCTCCAGCGCGCGCGGAGATATGACGTACACCCCATCATGTAAGTACGTTTTAACAACTGTCTTCAGCTTGTAAACATGTTCAGTGCTTCTAATTCTTTTATTATGATGTTTGCAGAGTAAGGTTTGCGCAACGAAGTTTCAATCCTAGGTGATGTGTACAGGCAGCTATGGGGTACTGTTGACCAACAGACGGGGAGAAGCTCTAGGCCTTTACAAGCATGTCCAAATGGCACTTCCAGTTCCAGACAGAACGATCAATGTTGTGGACCACCAGTTGTTATCAGAGGACAAAGATGGAGTAGAAGCAAACACCTCAAACCCTGGCAGGAAAAGAGATATATCAATTGCTTGCAGCCTTGCACCACTTCAATTCAGCACATTGGAGTTTCATGCTCAAAGGAAACTCCAATAAACCGCATGCAAATTGGAGATGCTTTGAAAGAGTAGCTGACTGCCCCTAGATCTTTACAAATAATCGTAACACAATATAAGCCATTTTACTTCAAGATATTTTTTACTGGAAAGAAAATAAAAATGACTGGTACTCCCTAAGTAAAGAAATATAAGAGCGTTTAGATCACTAAAGTAGTGACCTAAACGCTCTTATATTTCTTTACGGAGGGGGTATTTTACTTCAAGATTTCACACACGCATAGTTTTTGTATGTCAAGAACACAGAGATACCGAGTGCTGATGGGTACATGAATTTAACGCATTTGCCAGCTGAAAGGGAAATTATCTTGCATATATTTTTAGAAGTGTTTGACGTTTATAACAGAAGGCAAACTTTACCACCACCCCAATTTATTATCCAGCGGCGCTTTACATGGTTACATTTGATTGCACCTAGTATTTTGATATTTCCACTTTTTCTTCTATTTTCAGTGGTTATCTCAGTCCCCGATTATAGAAAACCAAATCTCAAATAAGCTGAACCTAACTTTCAGTTTAACCAAATGCCCACCCTACTAGGGGGCACAACGGCATAATAAACCATGTGAAGTCGCTATATATTACAGCAATCAAAGATGGAGAGGAATCATGTAAAGGATGATATTAGGCATATGGGAATGGGATAACACGCCATTAACGAAGGCAATCACTCCAAAGTCCAAAGTGCACACACCATAAACACGGAATGATTTACTCAAAAAAAAAAAAACTTAGACAACGACTACACTAGCAGGCAATTACAACTGAAACCTACAATGATGAACTAAAACATTAAATTCATGACATTTATCATCCGTAATAGAAGCCAGGTTTTGGGTTAACAATGGTTGCAAAGGTCAAGGGAACTGAACATCTTGAACTACAAAGGTCAAGTAAACTGAACGTCTTGAACTACAAAGGTTAAGGAAACTGAACACAGTCAAGATTGGCTGTATTTATCACAGCAAGTGGTCCAGTGACTGGTATACTAGACTGGCACAAGTTTAAGTCAAACCTCATAGTGAATGAAGTTTTTCTTTTTGAACAAAGGTCAAGAAAATTGAACATTTAGACTGGCTGTATTTATCACAGAAAGTGATCTATTTTTTTCTCGAATACGCACGAGTGTGCATATCACTAGATCACAGAAAGTGATATAGTGACTGCTGTACTAAACTAGCACAAATTTAAGTCGAATCTATTATTCGAATAGATTTTCTGTTGCAGCAGTTTAAACAGACAAGCACATGACACAATACCAAAGCTTACACTAAAATGAGCTACACTGGATATGGAAACACACAAATGATGAAATGTTCGAGCTTACAAAAGCATTAGTCCTCATCGTCTTCATCTGAGCTCCCGACGTCGCTACTGTACTCATCGCTGCTAGAACTGATAATGTCAAGGTTCACAGCTGCGACCTGTATTGGCTCTTGGGCCCTTGGCACCATTGGCTGCACCCCAACAGGAATCGGTACACTGGGTCGTTGTTCCTCAGGCTTGACAGCAGGAATGATGCCACCAAGCTCGATCGGGTCCCCAGGCTTCCATCCAGGTGGCGGCACTGGAATATCAGGAAGCAGAGCAGGCAAACCTTTCTGCCAACCTGGTGGCACTGTGATTGGTAGCATAGATGGCCGTGGAGGCTCTTCCACCGGTAGCTCGAATAGCGGCATGGACTCCATCTCTGCTGTGACCCCCTCCTTTGTTTCCAGGGGTTTCTTGGGCACCCCAACATCCAAATCAGCAAACTGATACAGCTGCGACATCCGCAGCTCGTTATCCTGTGGTGCAGGCGGCAATGCACCCCTCAGAGGCAGCCCAGCACCATGCTCCGGCGGCGCAAAGGTCGTGTAGCTTATGCGATGCGCATAGGTCAAGATGTCGTCCAGCTTGAGCTTGGAGTGGAGGGACGCGCCGAAGTCGCCGTGCGACACCGGCTCGGGCTCGTCGACAGCGGCAGCGCCGCGCGGGCGCTTGGGATCGCGGCGGTAGTCGGCGTAGTCGTCGACGAGGCGGTCGAGCACGTGGTGGGCTTCACGCAGCTTCTTCGCGAAGGCGAGCAGCGAAGCGTCCTTGGCGCGCGCCTCGCGAGCGAGCTTGGCGCGCGCGTCCTGCAGGTCGAGGGTCTCCTGCAGCTCGGCGACGGTCTCGAAGAGCTGCGTCTGGAGGGAGGTGAGCATCGACATGGCCTCCTTGGTGGTGGAGACCGGGGCCGGCAGCGGCGTAGGCGCCGCGGACGCCGACGACGACGCGAGGAAGTTGGGGAGCGAGCCCCGATACGACGAGATCCAGGCGGCGCGGTTGGGCGCGAGCTCGAAGAGGTTGGAGGCGAGGGATGAGATGAGGTGGAGCAGCGACTGCGCGCGCGGGAGCGGCGGCAGGAGCGGGAGCAGCGCCGGCGAGGTGGTTAGGGTTGGGACCGCGGCTCCGGCCGCGGACGCGGCCGCGCTCGCGGGCGGCGGGTTGGCCTGCTGCGGCGGCGAGGAGGTGGGGTTCGCGGGAGACTGGTTGGGCGGGAGCGACGGCGACGAGGCGGTCACCCCCAGCCTCGCCGGCGACGGCATGTGCGACTGCATCATCGCGGCGGCGGCGGCGGCAGATCGAGGAATCCAACGCGAGGAGAGGCTCGTGGACTAGCCGGGCTATTAGGCAGATGAGGTCCTCTTAGTGGGATCCTGGGCCTAGAGTGAATCTGGGCTTGATGACTTTCTTTTTAGAGAGATCTGGGCTTGATGACTTGCATATAGTCAGGCTTGTCAGCCCAACAAGCCCATCTAATCCGCAATAAAACCTCGCCTTGAAACCCTCGGCTTCCTCCCACCGATCATTTTGGCGGGAGAGCAGCAGTTGGCCGCCTCCACTCTCCACTTTCCCGCGCAGAGTAAATCAGCAATGGACGGCGGCTCCGGCTCCTCCTTCCAGGCCGTAGCGGCGGCCGCCGCCATGGAGATGGAGGAGTACCTCAACTGGAAGAAGAACGCGCCGGTGCTCTACGACCTCGTCATGTCCCACCCGCTCGAGTGGCCCTCGCTCACCGTCCAGTGGCTCCCCTCGGGGTCGCCGGCCTCCGCCCGCTCCCACCGCCTCGTCCTCGGCACCCACGCCTCCGACGACTCCGCCAACCACCTCATGCTCGTCGACGCCGTGCTCCCGCTCCCGCCGCGCCTGGCCGCCGCGGCCGCCGCCGAGGACCGCGCCGTCCCGGCCCCGTCCGTGTCCATCGGCCGCTCGGCGCCGCATCAGGGCGAGGTCAACCGCGCCCGGTGCATGCCGCAGCGGCCGTACACCGTGGCCACCAAGACCTGCGTCGATGAGGTGCACGTGTACCACCTCGGGGAGGACGGTGAGAAGGGCGGCGCGGATGTCGTGCTCAGGGGCCATGGCGCGGAGGGGTATGGGCTGGCGTGGAGCGCCACGAAGGAGGGGTTCCTGCTGAGCGGCTCGTATGATAAGAAGATTTGCCTGTGGGATCTCAAGGCCGGGAATGGAGCCCCGGTTCTGGACGCGCAGCAGGTGTTTGAGGTAATGTCCCGACGTATGCTCCTGTGCCGTTTCCTGTTCCCCGCATTTATCTTGTTTTCCATGTATGATTGTATTATGCGTGTTAGGTTCGCAACCTTCGAATAGTGTAGTATATACTGTGATCCTAGTGTAGGAAGCAGAAGTGATCAACACTTCTGCCTTCATAAGAAGTGCGGATACCCGAAGCACTCGACTCAGTCATAACAATGCCAAGAAACCTACCACAAATTATGTTGTCCTTCGTTTTCCATTACCCAGAGCACATTCAGTCGAGGTCACCGAATGTGAAAGATAATAATATAATGAAATCCAACCGAAAGTCCTGAAAGGATGATAACATTCAGTGTCTACAAACCTGATATATTGGAACTTCCTCTGATACACACAATTCTTCCATATATGGTGGCTAAGCAGGCTAGATACATCAATCTTGCACAGGAACGTTCTGTATGTTATTTTTCTTCACTTTTCAGGCATATTGGCAACAAGATTTGTCTGATTTGATGTTCTAAATAGCAATTTGTGTTGGGCAAACGATGTGCTCCTTCTGTTATTATTCATCAATTCATGATTCATTTGGACTCAAAGAAGTGCTGTCTTCTGACATCAGGTTAACCAACCATTGCGATAACATGAGAGCACATAATAACAATAAAAGCCTCATGGTTCCTCTTAAGCAATTAGAACAAAATATCGTCACCTTGGTTGCCACCACAATTCATCACTTCTGTATGGTGCTCTATTTTGAAGACTGAACTTGAAATAAACTTGTTCGCTGTTTGCCGTGGTTTCATACTAGGAAAATTAATGTTTCAGCTGGATGGTAGAAAACATAGTTTTCTATTATTTAGAAAGACATGCTGAGTTGAGTACCTGCTTTCAAAAATAATAATGCAGAGGCTGGAGACCTTTTTCCTTTTTTAGCAAGTAGCTGATGAGCATTGCGTCATTTGCCTAGAATGCTAATATTGCTACAGTCGTACTTCTTTTTTGCTTTCAAATGAAATGAGCTTCTTGGCCCCAGATCACCCTCCAACCACAAGCCTTATAGTTCAGGACCTAGCTTACTCAAAAATTACTACAGCAGCTAACACTAAGTTTGTTTGTTTTTTGCGTGGGAGCAGCTATCACTAAAATGACAGTTTCATAAACCATTATTACAAATTACTCAAAGTTAACACTTCTGCCTTCATAAGACCTGTGGATACCCGAAGCACTCAACTCATAACTCATAAGTCGTAACAATGCCAAGAAATCAACCACAAATTATGCCGTCCTTCGTTTTCTATACCCAGACCAGTATATGTGAAAGGATAATATGATGAAATGCAACTGAATCTCCCTGAATGGATGAGCAAATTTAGTCGAAGTCGCCACTTCATTCACCGTTTTGTCTACTGTCTGCAAACCTAATATATTGAAACACCCCCTGATATACTCGTTTATTCCATATATGGAGGCTAACCAGGCTAGGCACATCAATCTTGCACCAGAAACGTTTATTATGTCATTTTACTTATAAAATAGCAATTTGTGTCCGGCCAGAGATGTGTTCTTCCTGTTATTACTCATCAAGTCACACTTCATTTGGAATCAAAGATGTGGTCTCTCCTGACATCAGATTAACCAACCGTCGCGATAACATGAGAATGCATGATCTCGACAAATGTCTCACAGTTCTTATTAAGCAATTAAAATAGAATACCATCAGCTTGGTTCAGGGGGGTGGACAGGGTGAGCCCACCCTGGGATTTTGGGTGAGTCTGTCTAATATATACATACGGGTGGGACGAAAATAATAAAAGCCTACCAAGCACTTGCCAGCCTACTCGTCCCGACCCACGTGCACGCACAGCCGCACCGCGTCCTGACTCCCAACTCTGATTCCCTCTATGGTCTGCGCTCCGGATCTCTACTCGACGCCTGCCTCCTGGCCGTCTCCGAACGCCGCGGCTTGAGCGGACGGGCGCTTTATGCCCAGGAGGCCAGGAGCCGCCCGCAGCCCGGTGTCCGGCAGTGTGCAGCGACTAGCAGTCCACTGTCCAGCAGCCTGACGCAGCTTGGTTGTCCTCAGACCTCAATGGCGTCCCATTTGAAAATTTCTTGTTGATTACATCTTAGTTCTTTATTGATTATTCATTATAATTAGGGTTTGCTGTGTGCGTTTTGACATTGTCCAATTATGATTATTGATTCATTTGGCCTTTCTGTCTCCATTGTGACATTGTCCAATTAGGATGCAAAATTCAGACTATTGAGAATTTTAATATATTTGTATGCCCAAATTGATCTATTTCTATTGTGCTATTGGTAAATCAATTAGTCCATTGGCATGCCATATTTGTTATCCAACTTTTTTGTAAGGTGGAACACCCTGTTTCAAAATCCTAGATCCTCCATTGGCTTGGTTGCCACTATAATTCATCACTTCTGTATGGTGCTTTAATATGAAGATTAGACTTGAATAAATTTATTTGCTGTTTGCAGTGCTTTCATACTATGAAAAATACTGTTTTAGCTGGATGGTGAAAACACAATTTTCTATTATTTGAAAAGACTTACTCAGTTGACTACATGCCTTTAAAAAATTAATGTGGAGGCTGGAGACCTTTTCCTTTTTTGAAGCAAGTAGGTGCTGAGTATTGCATCATTTGGCTAGCATGTTAAAATTGCTATAGTCCTACTTATTTTCAAATAAAATGAGTTTCTTCACCCCAGATCAGCCTCCAATCACAAGCCATACAGTTCAGTACCGAGCTTACTCAAAAAACAACTACAGCAGCTTAAACTTAAACGACAGGTTCAGAAACCATTATTACAAAGTACTTGCTCATTACAAAGACCAGCATCAGCTGAACACTGAGAAGCATACCAAAGTAACTGAACCCCAGCATGGAAGTATGACTTCCATCAGCCATTCTCCAGCCGGAGCATCATAGCTCCCCATCCTTATTAGTCATATTATTTTTGACAACGCTTCTGTTGTCAGTAAAAACATACATCTGTGAACATGACCACAAGTGGAAACGGGACTTGTGTAACTGTTATGCCTGGATCCACTTTTTTTGGATATGATGTCACAATCATGATTTCTTAAGCTACCTCATTACTTCCGTGCTTGTCTTACTTGTCCAAAATCCAAAATCGCAATTGCATGGTTCTGTTTTACAGATGCGACATAAGAGGGCATGGGTGTTTATTTTTGGATATGACAATCTTCACAATCATGAGTATGTAAGCAAGGCTGGCAGTGTTAAACATCTAGTCAAATTTTATGTTTTTGCAGGCTCATGAGGATGTTGTTGAAGATGTTGCTTGGCACCTTAAGGATGAAAACCTATTTGGATCTGTTGGCGATGACTGCAAGTTCATGATGTGGGACCTGCGTACGAACAAACCAGAACAATCTATAGTTGCGCACCAAAAGGAAGTAAGCATGCTTTAATTGATAGTTGTTGAGCTAAATGTTTTTCTATGTTGAGGGGGCCATAGCTGCAGTACTACAGTTTGTTCTATACTCACTTTTTTGCTGAGCTAAATGTTTTTCTGTGTCTGAGTGGAGTATAGCTGCAGTACTACAGTTTCTTCTAAGCTCAACTTTTACTATAGTGGGAAGACCTTTTCTTTGTGGAAGCATCCTTACTGAAAAAGATGAAACCTATTTGGGTCTGTTAGTGACGACTGCAAGCTCATGACGTGGGACTTGCATATGAACAAACAGGAACAACCTATAGGTGCTCATTAAAAGGAAGTTAGCATGCTTTGATCAAGAGCTACTGAGCTAAATGTTTTTCTGTGTCGAGGGGAACATAGCTGCACTATACTCATTTTTTTAGTAAGCAAGACCTTTGCTTTATGTACCGGAGTGGTATGTGAAGCATGTTTTCTAAAGTTGCAATGATATACTTATTCCTTGTGTCTGGCTTCTTTCAAAAATTTCACCAGCAGATGGTTTTTTTAGTTGGTACATCATCAGTTTGCTTGTGTGATTGTAGCTACTGTACTGAAGTTTGCTTGTGTGATTGTTTCATGTTTGTGACTTTGAGTTAGAAAATGA